GCCACTTGATGAGGATGTACGACCACGGCCACGGCCACGGCCACGACCGCGAATGTACTCAAACGCACTCTTGTTCCGCCGTGGTTGTCGACCCCTAGGTCGCTCGACCCCTTCCGGTTCCTCGGTATCCAAACACGATGTATTGAACATGTCATGAAGTATGTGTGTAGCACTACGAATGATCGAAGGGTGACTGGAGGACACTTGGTCAAACATCATCTGAAACTGCTCCAACTCCTCCTGTTCACGGTGAACCGTATGCGGAACAGCATGCTCTCCGATAACGAGCGTCCGCCAGAATGGATGAACCTGATCGACATGTAACGACGCCCTGTCTTGCGTAATTACGCGGTGAATGGTGCATGCACAAGGTAATCCATGAGTCATTGATATAGCACATCCGCACCGAATAGCCACTTCATCGCCCAACTCCCTCATCCTGGTATACTCGCTCAGAATCAACCCCAAACAGTGGTGTGACACACGACCGTGGAGAATCTTAAATATGAAATGGCCATACAACATGCCATGTCGTCGTCTGGAGTCCTCGAGATAGTTCTTGATGCCGTTCCTCTGAGTATCAATAGCCTTGTTTATTCTCTCGAACAGTGTATCCAGAGCAGCCGTGGAAGAATCAATCCAGTCCTTCAAAGCTCTATGAGCGCTCTCGACTCTGCATGTCGTAGTGTTCCCAAAATGAAGAACTTGGTTCGTCCAATATTTGACAAACTTTTCCCTCTGAGGTACCCACTGATGCATCACATAGTCTACGATTGGCGGGCACCACTTGTACGCATCCTTTAAGTTTTCCAAGGCTCGATCGTACTCTGCCTCCGTGGTAGCTTGCAGGATCTTCCGCCACTTACCATTTACCAATCTCTCTGCTGAATCTAAGTTCTTGTTGAAAAGATTGTAGGCTTTGACTTTCACGCAGTTGTTGATGTGCCATGTGCACAGTAAATGGCTCGACTCCGGAAACAGCTCCGCTATAGGGGCAAAAAGACCTCCCTCACAATCACTTACGATGGCCGATGGCTGTACATTTGGGCCGATGTAGTTTCTCAACTTTTCCAACACCCAACGGTAACTCGCAGCCGTCTCATCCTTCATGACTGCATAACCAATCAGAAAGTTCTGGTTCGTTGGAGCCATCCCAACCATCTCAACCAGTGGGAACTTGTACTTGTTTGTCTTGTACGTTGAATCGATCAAAATCACAGATGGCCAAGACGAAATCATATCAGCACAATCAGGATGGACAAGGAACAAATGAGTTACCTCCGATGTGTCTTCGTCAGATTCAAACCAGTAAAGGTAACCACGTGCTTGTGCCTGGTGCAGAAGCTGCTGTATAGGGTTCCTTCCCTCTGACCGTTCAAACCTCAATTTCTGTCTGACGTTGTAGATGTGTCTTCGGTTTGGCTGGTCTTCGGGGAATTTCTCTAACACAGACGCTAATATTTTAGCGGGCTTCACTTGAGCATCACTCATTTCTTTTACAACTAGTTTCGCAGCTGGACTTAGGCCGCTTAACTGCCGATGCCCCACTTTGTATGCTATCAGCTCATGGTTGTGATATCCCCATTTGTCGTAACCCTTCACTTCCCAACCGTCACGCCTTTGATGTTGTCGAACCTTAACTCGGAACTGACACCCACAACCTTTCCGCTTTGAGTCAAACCGAATCGCTTTACTGAAATCTCGTTCTTCTCTTTTGCGATAACGGTCGCATCTCAAAATGCGATCCATTCTACCATCCCGTTGAGATTTATGAGTTGCTACTACTAAACAAAAGCCTGATCTAATTGCAACCTGTTTTGCCCAATCAATCGCTTGTTGAGCATCTTCGAACAGGCCATCATGTACAAAAATCCCACTGTAATCATTTCCGTCTCCACCATAATCCTGTAACAATAACATATAACGTATAAATATAATTACATTAAGATTAAATTAACAAAAACAAACAAAAAAAAAAAAAAAGGGGATTAAATTAAAAAATTAAAAAAAAAAAAAAAAAAAAAAAAAAAAAAATATTCCCCTACTGGCGCCTGGCCAGGACGCCGGAGCCACGGCCGGGGCGCCTGGTCAGGACGCCGCCGCCATGGTGGCGGCGTGGTGGCCAGGCGCCTTGGCCGTGGCTGCGGCGTCCTGGCCACGCGCCACTACTATGGTCGAGGCTTCTCCACCAGGCGCCGTGACCACGGTGGCGGCGTCCTGGCTAGGCGCCACAACCACGGCATGGCCTTTTGGCTAGGCGCCAGCCACCATTTCATCCTTACGATGCGTTACGAACCTCGTTTTCCGATGACGACGGCGATTCTCCGGTGATCCTCGGCGATCCGGTGCTGCTCCACATTTTTTTAGTGCGAAAAATTTATCTTCCGTTAAAATTATAAAAAGGGCAAATTTGTCAAAAAATTATAAAATGTGGGCTTTATGTAGAGATTTGCGGGCGATGAATAACAAGTCCCATCAATTAAGCGCCAATCTTTCCTCTATTATTTCCTTTAGTATCAATGTGTATCATCTCCCCTCGCATGCCTTTACCTTCGGTGGCTCCTTGAGCCCTTATGAGTTATGGAAGTGACTAAAATAACTAAAACTGAAATGCCCCGAGAATCAATGTAATGTCCAATGTCCATTACCACAATTGAAGTCATGATTATAGTTTTAAGAAAATAACATTACAAAAAAACACAAATTTTGATTATAACACCAAAAAAAAAAAAAAAAAATTGTTTTAAGACCACAAAAAAACTCACAAATTTGATTTCACCGCCACTTAACGGATTCTTGGATGGAATCCGTTAGTAGGGCCCATAATTTAACACGTGTCAATAGCTTATAAGTTTAAAAAATTGAATTAAAAAAAAGAAAAAAAAAGAAAATCCCTTTACCCAGCTAGCCCCACCACCGGCGCCACCTTGCCTCAGCGCCGACATCGTAACCCAGGCCTCCGGCACCCATCTTCCCCACCAAAACCGGCGAAACCACCCCACGCCGCCGAATTTTGCCTTCTCCCTCCCCAAAAACCACCCACATCGGTGAAATCCTCTCCCACACCAACCCAAAAACCTCCCACGTCGCCGAAATCCTCTCCCACACAACCCAAAAACCACCCACGTCGCCGAAATCCTCTCCCACACCATCATTGTTGCCGAAATCCTCTCCCCTACCCAGAGCCGTCGTCGAAACCCCAACTCACACTAACCCAAAAACCGCCCTCACCTGAACCCTAACCCGTTCCGGAAACCGAATTAAATCAGGGCTAAGGCTGAGCTGGATTAGGGTGGTGTGTCGTTCAAGTGGTCAGTCGAGGGTGCTGGGCTGGGGGAACCAGCAGCGGCAGTGGGAAAGAGAAACCGACGCCGGTGGTGAGTACGGTGACTGGGTTAGGATTTTAGGGTTTTTCATTTTTTTTTTATTATTTGTTTTTTAATCCAATATATAACTAACACATATAATATGTGGGGCCCACTAACGATTTTTTGGATGGCGTTAGTAAGTGGTGGTGAAATCGAATTTTTTGGTTTTTTTTTGTGATGTTATAATAAAAGTTTTAAATTTTGTGGTGTTATAATAAAAAATTGTGTTTTTTTGTGGTGTTATTTTCTAAAATTCCTTAGTTTTAATGTTATATTCAATAAGTGTATGCAGTGTTGGACTTGGTGGGAATCACGTTATGCATTTATCCCCTTGATTTCTATCTCCAATCCAAGTAGCTATGAGCTGTGATGACGATGATTGTGGACAAAGAGGCAGTTACAAAAAAAACAACCCAAAAATACACGTAATAATAATAAAAGGGTGTTGCTCAAGTCTTATATTGTTTGCTAGGTTGCCTTGGTCCTACAATATGTATTATTTGTCATTTTTGTTACACCAAAACATCCTAAACATCTCTCAACTCTCACTATTTTCCACTCGTATCTTTGTTTACTACTTTTATCTCCAATCCATTATCCATAAAAATAAACAAGAAAAGATGCACCTATATGTGAAATAAAAGGCTTATGTATCCATTTCCAAGCCAGCTGTTTCTAAGCTAATGACTCCAATTCTTTTCATAAAAAGCTAACCACTCCAATTTAGTTACCCAAAATCTTAAATAAAGCCATTTTAAATGTGTTCTATAAACATCAGGTGCATATGAAGGGTCACACCACAATCTTACTTATCTCACATATCATAAATGTCACGCTAGAATACATATAAGTTGCTTCTTCGTTAATTTGAGTCCTTTATGATTCGGGATAGCATTAATAAGGGGTGACAATGGACGTGCTTTATAAATATATGCTACATTGATCCACTTAATAATCCACCTACTAGAGATAGAGATTTTTAGAAAGCATTTTAAATTGTTACTCAGAGGTCTAAAATGTGCTCATACTAAGATTGTCGGTTTGGTATGGCACGGTATTGTTTTGTTAGATTGCATTTTGTCTAATTTGATGATTTTTGATGTATGTACACCTAATCTTATTTTGCACATGGGTATGATGTATCAAATGATAAACCCTTTTGTATACATGATTTTGCAAATCAACCAACATCTATCAATTTATATACCATGTAAATAATAATTAGGTCATTCAAATTAAGCTCAATTTGAGTCCATTTAGGTCAAATTATATTCAAGCAAGTAATCATTCGATATACTTTATGACATATTTAGGTCTAATGAGATTAGCTTATAATTGTATAGAATTAAATATTAAAATAGCTATCATATAGAATTAATTTGACTCGAGTCAATTTCAATGAGTACGATATCAAATCACATGATTTTGGACAGAGTTTTGTTGTGAGTGGAACATTTAAAAAGGTACTCATATTTAAATACAATTAAGTTTTGATAAGGATTAATAAATTCTAAAAGATAAAATCGCTAAAGAAAAACACAGCTCCCAGTCCCTACATGTCAGAGGAAATTTTCTTACCTTGCAAGAGAAGCCTAGAGGTACATGTAAAAACATCATCACACGAGACAAACATAAGAATGAAGCCGTTGGGCAAGGTAATAATCACTAGTCGTACATAAAAGATTCCACTGTTGAAGACAACTTCCTTCTAATGAAAACAAAGTACAAACTACTTGAATGTCTTTGCAAAATATCTGTGTCAGTTAAGACTATACACCAAGAAACTACTGTTTCCTCTGAAAACCACAAATTAAACTGAACAGATGATGAAGAAAATGACAGATATTAGGATAAAGCACACGAAACTGGCAATGATGGTATGTCAATGTCCTTCTAAACAACTTTGTTTGCCTGCCTAATCACAAAATATAACATCCTTTTGCCTTCTTTTTCTTTTTCTTGGTCTTCGGTGGCTGGAGAACAACCTTAATCGCCGCATCAAAAACTGCCTTCACATTCTGCATTCACGGAAACATAGCGGATCAATATTACAAGTATCATACAGAAAGCTAGATGTAGACATGGAAATGAAGGGGCAGTGCAGCATATATATACCTGTTGAGTTTTTGAGCTACACTCTATGTAGTAAGGGGCACCAATGACTCTTTTCAGCTCCTCTCCCTTCAATACAGTTCACATTAGTACCATGAACATGAACATGAAATGAAAACAGACAAAAAGATGGGGCTATAAGAAACGGTAGAAGTCCTCACTTGTTGAGTTGAAATGGGAACGGCACCAGGATGATCTACAAAAAACTGCTTATCATCTCGAAGATCTGTATATAGGTAGATGCAATCAAATTGTTTAGGCAGGGTTGCAGAGGTTAAAATCGATAAAATTCCATTGCTGAAAAGCGGAAATGAAATAGAGACAGAATTAAAATTCTAGTAAACAAAGCATGGCAATTGTACACATCTCAACTGATTTCAATCTCACATGTTAATTAGAGGCGGATCAAGTTTCTGATTCTAAGTATCCTCAAGATACAACTTTTTAAGCTAAGAAGAAATTGGTAGCAACTCAACCTTGTAACCAATAGTTAACCCAATCTTAAGATGAAGTATAGCTCACAATAATTGATCCCTCTTGTCCACACCCCCAGCTCCTCTCGGGGGAAAAAAATAAATTAAATAAGTAAATAAATCAACGAGATCTAAATGTTAAGGTGGTGTTAGAGAGTTCTTGTAGGTGGCTTTGAGACCCTACATTCAGGTATCACTAGAGGTTTTATTTGACAAACAATTATGAAGTTTCAAGATCTAACATCCCTGTCATGTGCAGGTTATTCATTCGCTTGACAAAGCCAAGGTTCCTAATGCCTAACTATTTCCTGGTACAACCACTTTACATGAGTCACTGGTATAACTATAGACATTTTAAGAGTAATTGGGGAGTAATGTCATACCTAGTTTTGTTCCAACGAGAATTATTGGAACACCAGGTGCATAATGCCTGAGCTCGGGAATCCACTGAAATAGGAATTTAAAAATCCATGAGCTAATTGAAATAGCACAACACCAATACATGTTGTATAAGCCACAAAATTGAGGGAAGAGCAAAATAATGAAGTAGCCTCACTTTTTTGGCAACATTTTCATAACTAGCTTTGCTAATCAACGAGAACGCTAAAATAAAAACATCAGCTCCACGATAGCTCAAAGGTCTCAATCTATTGTAGTCTTCTTGCCCTGTAACACACAATTACAATATAGTCAAACACACTTTGTCTTGTTACTCATTATCTAGAATCATAATAACATTTTGAGGAAAGGTAAGCGAATACGAATAATACGAAAGATATGAAAATCATAGAGGGGTAGCGGCATGTGGTGTACCTGCAGTATCCCATAAACCTAGGTTGACTGTGTTCCCATCAACAACAACATTAGCACTGAAGTTATCAAAAACTGTAGGTACATAGTCCTGTTTCAATCGAGAATTCAAAAGGTGAACATGTAGCCAAATTGACCAGGGAAATAACTACTTGTATGAGGCAGAATACACCAGGGGACAAGGGAGATTGGAGCAATATTGTCGATTACAAAGCAGTTCTAGAGGATTACAAAGCAATTCTTGTTGCATCCTCGTAGTTAATGTCATATCCCAATTCACTAACAACAAAGAAATGAGTGATTTTACTTTCGTCCAACAGGGACAACAATCTCCTCAATGGACAACCCTTTAACAATCAGGGCCGCATTAGACCCAATACATTGATAGTTTCTAGCCTCAACTTTTTTAATTTTTTTTTTTTTTTTACCTGAAACGTTCTAGCCTCTAAACCTCAAAAAACCAAATTCTCTTCAAATTTGAGGCATACATTTACAGTTGCTAGCATCTCGGATTAAAATTCCCAACGTCATTAAGAGTTAATATTATTTTTGTACAGCATGCATAGATTGACTATAAAAATAAATAATTTTGGGACATCCACATTATACTGAAAATTGGGACATTATATAACATAGAAATTTTTGTATGATAACAAATACGGAGTATACAAAATTCTAAAAATAATTAATATATACTGAAAATTGGACATTTCAAAATATCACAAATTCACAATGCAGAATCAAAATAATCAGGAAAAAAAAAAAACACAACACATTTTACAAATCACAATCAACATTTCAATTGTTGCTTAAATATATGGCAAAAACAATTCCTCAAAAACAGGAAATTTCACACCAATTAAACCCCACCTATAATTCAGTAACCCATTAAATTCAATTCACATATTACATAATCAAATACAAGATCCAAAACCAAAACCCAGAAAATATGATCACAAAAAACAAAAAACCCACAAATAAAACCGAGTAAAAATTGATCAAAATATCGCAAATGCAAAAACCAACCAAACAAAATCAGTAAAATAAAGAAAAACAATGAAAAGGGTAATTGAAAAAAATAGAATTAATACCGTAGGAAAAGTGTTGCTGGTGTAAGAAATAAGCATACATGTTTTACCCACAGCACCATCACCAACTGTAACACATTTGATGAACCTAGATGCGCTCATTTCTTGCTCAAAAATTAAATTTTGAAATTGGTGTAATAATAAATTTTGAAAATGGATTACAAATACGGAGTATATAAATTTGATCAAATAAAAAGATAGGACACCCACATTGTTGAAGAAGAGTAGTTGTACAATCAAAATCACAAAACCCTAGGGGGGTAATGGTATAAATTAAGAGTGGAAGTCAACGGATAATCAAATAAAAAGGGGAAAGTATGAATGAAATTGAGAATGAGAATGAGATGAGGAGAGAGAAAAATGACCTAGCTTGGTTTGTGACAGCTATTACCAGACAGAGTAGAGGAGGTGGACAACCCTATCAATGTCACGGACCCATAATTGGACCACTTTCCTCTTTATTCTTCTTTTTTTCTTTTTATATTTTTTAAAATTTTTACTAAGTATTATAAATTCATTAGAAATTTTTTGTAATTATATTGGAGGGAGTATGTATGTCCTATGTGGCTATGTGTATGTCTTTTCTTTTTACTGTATTTTGTTGTTAGATTCTTAATGTATTTAGACCCCGTTAAAATATGTATTAGGTATAATTTAAGAAGATATTTAGTATGTAAAATGTTAAACGGTCAATTAATATTGCAAATGTATATGCATAGGAGTCATTTTTTCAAACTCAATTTTGACGGTTTTGTTAGAGGTCACTTATAAAGCGTTATCATTGAAAATGCACAAGTACTCCGCATGTGCTTTATGTTTTGGTGATGTAGAGTCACAGGTCGCTAAAGCTTTAGCCTTACATCAAGGTTTACAACTTGCTAGAGAAGAAAACTTGCTAGAGAAGAAAACTTGCTAGAGAAGAAGGCATCAACAACATAAATACTAAAATACATAATCATTGAAGGTGGCAATTTGGTAGTCATCAACACATTTAAATGTTTTTAGAATTGTCCCTAGGATCTTGGGCTGCATCATTGTTGATATACGTTATATATTTCAGTCATTCTTCTAATCGGAAATTCCTCATGTATACCGTGAGCAAATAATTAAAGTTGGACACTTAGTCTCTTTTTATATATATATATATATTTTGTTCCACGTAAATGCCCATCTTTGTATCCAATTCTTGAAGTGGCGTTTTAAGTCAATTAAAAAGTTTTCATCGTGAAGAGGGTCACTTATTGATTTTGTTTTTGTTTTCATTACCTTAAAAAAGATTTGGGCTCATATGCTCTTATAGGCCTATGTCACCATGTGATGTATTAACGTACTTTGAATTCAAGTGGAAGAAAAAGACATGTCATGTCGAACACGTATCGAACATTAATAAATGGAGACCATGGCCTAACCCACGTGATGTGTAAATGAACCCCTTATTTATTTTTATATATTTGGTAAGCTAGTTAAAAAGGGGGCTAATAGGTGGACTAGCTTGCTTGGCTTATGTCAGGTTCATGTCAACTTTTGAAAATAATGTCCATGTACAGCCTATGATTCATTGGTGTGCCTCTTTCCCGAACTTGTGATGGACTTGTGCTGAGTTAGACGATTGACCTCATATTGACTCATATCATGCCCACCTCTATTGACATTTTTATAATTTTGCAACTTTACCTAAAAAAAAAAAAATAACGAAGTTGGATATCAATAAAGAAATTGAAATTCCTTGAACTCCTTGCATTGGTAAAAAGACATGGGATGACACTTCATTATATTTTTCAATTTTTTGCTTGAGAGAGATAAAGGGTTTGGTGAAATGTATAGAATTATAATTTTGTGTACTCCATTAGTACATTTGATTGTATTTACTACGAGTTGCTATATCCTACATGAAGTCGTGAGCAATACATGAATTTCTAACAATAATAAGGACCTCTTAACAGTTTTTTTTTAGTTCGTTTTGATAGTCCTTGAACATCTCATGATTGAATAGAAGTGACTTTCTCTCTCTGTTGTAAATCAACCAATTGAGCATAGATACCTCCATGAATGCTAACAAGCTCTTCATGGCTTCCAAGTTCACATACTTTTCCTTGGCTCATGACTGCGATATTATCTGCATCACGTATAGTTGAGAGTCTGTGAGCCACGATAATTGTCGTTCGACCTTGCATGAGTTTTTCAAGGGCTTCCTGGACGAGCTTTTCTGATGAAGTGTCAAGTGCACTTGTTGCTTCATCTAAAAGCAGGATGGATGGATCTTTTAGTATTGCCCGAGCAATTGCCACCCTTTGTTTTTGACCCCCTGATAACTGGGAACCTTTTTCCCCCACTCGAGTATCATATCCATCTGGCATTCTGCTTATAAACCCATGAGCATTTGCTGCTTTGGCAGCCTTCATTATTTCGATTTCTGTTGCCTCCTCGTTACCATAGCGTATATTCTCATATATTGTGGTGGAGAACAATGCTGGCTCTTGCTGTACTAATCCTATCATACGCCGGAGAGACTTCAGATTCAAGTTTCTGATGTCAATCCCATCTATCAAAATTGAGCCAGAAGAGGGATCATAGAATCTCATTACAAGCGAAATCAAGGTGCTCTTTCCTGATCCACTCTGACCCACAACTGCTAGACTCTTTCCTGCAGGAACCTTTAGGTTGAAGTCGTTGAGAACAAGTATTTCAGGTCTTGTTGGGTACTTAAAACTGATATTTCTGAACTCTATATCTCCTCTGATTTCTGTTACCTTAGTTGATTTGGGATCATCAGAGTCGATAGCTGTTTTCCTTTTCAAGATGCCAAATATTGATCCTAGTGCATCCGATCCCCTCATTATTACGGGTGTAAGAGAAAGTGCTTCAGCTATTGAAAAGGCCGCAGTAATTAAGACCATGAAGGACTTTATAATTTCACCAAAGTTGCTTTCTCTGTGTTTTAGCAGAACAGAAGCGTACCAAAGGGTGAGCCCGTATGAACTGAATGTAAGGAGTAATGATATGCCGTACCCTAAACCTGATATGTGGCCTCGTAGAACAGCTTGTTTATTTGGCTTGTTCAAGTGCATGGAAAATTGCTTTGAGATTTGCTCTTCAACTCCAAATGCAGCAACTGTTCTGATGTTTGAGATTGCTTCTCCAGCCAAAGCATTAGCGCGATAGTACTCTTTAGAGTAATCCCCTCCAAAGCCTTTCAGGAAATATTGCTGCACAAATGTAAAACAAAAACTGAATGTCAGAGGGAAAGGGAATTGACAGAAAGAAAACTTGAACAATGCTATGTAATAATCCATGTGTCTGAGTGTCATCTCCAAGTTAACTTCAACCAGAAAAGGGTGTTCCTGCTCAAAGTTTACATTCAAATATGGTGATTTTATTTTTATTTTTTGAAATGTTTAAAGCGCGTACTTGGCTAAATTTGTCTCTGTACCTTTTCTATAAAGTTAGATACAAAGTCATTTACTTTTCTTTTTCTCTCTACTTTTCCCTACCTTAATATACGTACCCCATACTAATAAACTCAGTTGGAACAGATAGGGACGAATGGACTATATAAACTTTGAGGTGAAACTGATGGCTCACTTCCATCTTGGTTGTACATAAAACATCATATTTCTAGCAGCTCTGAAAACCCACATTAGGTTCCTCAATTCTACCTGGTGCTCGTATGCATGTGACTTAAACACATAAATTGTAACTCTTGTTTGATGAGTACATTAAAACATCTCTAACCTCGGCTATGGAGGAGGCAATCATTAGGGGAAACATGGCAACAGTGACAGCTGCAATGCGCCAGCTTAACTTAAATGCAATGAGAAATGATGCTGCAATGAGTGACATATTCTGCACAATTGTTGATAGTCGATCAACAAGAGTTGTCCTAACAAGTGTTGCATCGGCTGCTAGCTTTGATGTCAATGAACCAACACTATTTTCTTCTATGTCAAACCACCCAATTTCATTTGACAACATAGCTGCCATGAAGAGAAAAAGGAAGAAACATAATCAATAACATGAATGAATCATATGACATAATTATAATACTCCCTCTATCTCATACCTAAGTTAACATATACTTTTATGTATCGAAATTGTCTCAAAATTTATCAGACATATTATTTTTTATTACCTTACTTTTCCTCTAATTTGGGACCCACACCCACCCTGTTTTTTTTTTCCCTTTCAACCCCCCTCCCCTTCCCCACCCCCAAAACTCTATTCTTCATGCCTTATGCAATGTTAACTTAGCCTGAGCGAGAGGGAGTAGTATGAGTTCTAGACTTCTAGTTGTAAAACTGAACCTGAAAACATCAACTTGCGAATACGAGTGGTGACTCGTTCTCCCATTAAAGTATAGAAGTAGTGCTGCATTAGATATATCGGAACAGTAATGAGTGCAACCCCAAGGAAAACAAATGAAGTTATTCGAACGTCATGCTTGATCTTGGAGTCATCATTAGAATAGAAGGCCGTTAACATACATGAGATACCAAAGGCAAATAAAGGAGCTTGAATTCCAACCAAAGCGGCCCCAACAGACCCAAGAACTGCATTGGGAAACTCTGATGCATTTAACATAAGAAGCTCCTTAATGGTTGGCTTAGGATATGTAGTGATTGGATCTTCATTGTCATTACTTAGTTTCTGCTCTCTAGCAGAAGTTGATTTTGGGTCTTCCAAGGGATGAACATTCTTGTTGTACTCAGAATAGCTCAAAGTTTGTGAAGTTTGCTCATTGATGTTTCCTGTTTTATCCAGGTTGTTTTCTGAAACTTGTAGTCTGGCTAATGCTGCATACTCTCCTCCTTTTGAGATTAATTGTTCATGAGTTCCTAATTCAACTACACTTCCATTCTTGAGAACAATAATTTGATCAACATCTCGAATAGTGGATAATCTATGAGCAACTACAATTGTTGTTCGTTCTGACATGATCTCCTCTAGTGCTTTCTGAACAACATGCTCCGACTCAGAATCAAGAGCACTTGTGGCTTCATCCAGGAGTAATATCTTTGGATTTCGTATCACAGCTCTTGCTATAGCGATTCGTTGTTTTTGTCCGCCTGAAAGTTGAGTTCCCCCTTGCCCCACCTGAAAGCGATGAGCATTATAGCTGTAAATACAGATGCATCCTAAAGCATGGACTATGAAGCCCGAACTCAAATTCATGGCATCTGAATGCCTGGTATGCTTTCAAAAACCATGTACTGAAGTAGGTATAGCAAAAACAAGTAATCAGATCTGAGTGATTCCTACCTGAGTATGATAACCATCAGGTAAAGACTGGATAAAAGAATGTGCATTTGCAGCTTTGGCAGCTTCCACAACTTGCTGTATACCGGCTTCTTCTTTACCATATAAAATGTTCTCTGCTATGGTTGCAGCGAACAAGACTGGTTCTTGATTAACCAATCCCATCTGTTCTCTCAACCATTTTAGCTTCAGACTTTGTACATCATGCCCATCCAACAGTATATGTCCTGGTATTAATTGTAATATTAAACAT